TTGTAAACCATCCAATACTTAAGAAAAGAAAACTTAACAAGAGCGAGGAGATGATATTCCCGAAGGACAGGCACTGATTCAGGTAGATGCAGCCACTTCATGACTGCACACCAAAATGAGTCTGGTCAGCAGGGTACATTGGCTTACATGGATAGAGTGACTCCCACAGCATCAGAAAAACCTGACAACTCACAGGCTGACCTTTTTGTTAGAGGAAACTCAAAAGCCTAGGGCTGGAGCTCTGGTTCTGTGTACCAATCGAATATCAGGAAGAGTCTGATTTTTGTTTTTTTGTTTGTTTGTTTTTAGGGAAGAGCTACAATAAGCCATGTAGGAGATATTGCTCCTACCACAGCTTCCTGTCTCTTCCACGCTCCAATGTGTCCTTCATGGAGATACCAAAGTGATTTTCCTTTATCACAAATCTCATTGTGTCACTCCTTTATACTCAACATACTTTAATGGTTTAATATGGCCTCTAGAATAAAATACAAAATTCTCTGGATCTGACAGCCCTTCATTACTTGGCTCGAACCTATCTTTCCAAACTTGTTATAAATTATTCCCCTTCCAACACTCTATGATCTAGCCGAACCAGCGTTCTGGCGTTTCCTTACCCAGTGCGCTCCATCAGCTTTTCTCTCCATGTCTTGTCACTGGCTGTTGCCCATATGTGATGCTCTTTCCCTTTCCCCTTTGCCTCAAAGAAGCCTTTACTTTCTTTAAGACTCATCTAAGACACAACTTTCCTGATCCCTCAGCTGCTACTGCCCTTTCTCCCCAAATTGTTAATTATGTTAATTCTAGGGGCAGCTAGCTGGCCCAGTGGAAAAAGCACTGGCCCTGAATTCAGGAGGACCCCAGTTCAAATCTGGCCTCAGACACATAACACTTACTAGCTGTGTGACCCTGGGCAAGTCCCTTAACCCCACTGCCTAGCCAATGAAAAAAAAAATTATGTTAATTTTGTATTCATTATTTCCATATTCTACTAATTTAGAAATGTGTGAGCTCTTTCAAAGCACCAATGGTTTCATTTTGTCTTGGTATTAGTATACCAGTATACTAATCCCAGTATAGTACCAGGCTTATAGTAAGTGCTTAATAAATGTTTACTGATTGTTTAATCAATTCTGAACTTTGGAATCCTTGACATGATTCTTACGGTATGTGAGAATATCATCCTGTTATTTGCCTTTTATTCTATCTTCTATAAATAATTTTTAAAGAAATCTAAGTCAGTGATTTCTGGGTATAGGCCCACCCTATATGGGAAGAGTTTGTTCAGGTATCCATCCCCTTTGCTCCCTGCTAGACTAAAATCAGTAACAAGAAAGAAGTGGGTCTTTTTCCTATATACTTGAAAAAAGTATTTGGATTAGAACAACATTAGCTAGGCTTTATACAGTGCTTTAAAGTTGGAAAAACACTTTATGAATATTATCTCATTTGATCTTCACATCAACCCTGGAAGGTAGCCACTATTATTATCCCCACTTTTCAGATGAGGAAACTGAGTCAGATATCAGTTAAATGACTTGCCCCATGTTCTGAAGTCTTTAAGTATCTGAGACCAGAATATAGAAAGTTAGTCTATATTACCTTCCTCCATTTCCTCAGCACTTTAACTCTTTAACTTTGGCTTTTCTAACTCAGCTCTTTAACACTTTGTAATCTGATCATTTTTGAAAAGTTGGTTTCCATGGCTGGTTTGGAAGCTATTGATCTCTTAATTGCTACATCCATATACTTTTCTCAGATGTCATTCTCCTTGAACTCTCTTTAGCTGTAGATATTTGATTCCAGTAAAATGTAAACTCCTTGAGAGTAGGGATCATTCTCATATTTTGTCTTTATCTCCAACAGCAAAGTGCCTGAAACAATTTCTGTTGACGGAACAAATTTTTGTGACCTGGGTTTAAGACTCTGGCAGCACCTTGGTCCCTTTTTCATCACTGAACTCCACTCCTTTCTGCCCCCCCCCCAATACAATGAGAGGCAAGTCCTGTGTTTTCTGCCCTTACAGCCTCCACATCTCCCTATTAACATAGCCACCCACCCTAGTTTAGGCCATGACCACATGCCTGGACTATTGTAACAGTGACTGAACTGGTCTCCTTGTCTTTTTTTCCCCTTCTTTTTAAAAAAAATTATTTTTAGTTTTCAACATTCACTTCCATAAGCTTTTGAGTTTTAAATTTTCTCCCCTCTTCCCTCCTACCTCCCCAAGACAGCCCATAATCTGATACAGGCTCTACATATACTTTCATATACATACATATTTTCACATTAGTCATGTTGTAAAGAAGAATTAGGACCAATGGGAGAAACCACGAGAAAGAAGAAACAAAACAAAACAACAACAAC